ATGGCCAAACCATCGGAGGCGGTGTGAAGCGATTACTTCCTTTATCGAACGGCTATCGGCACCCGACACACGACGACGAACTCCGTCATCGGTTACCCGATGTTCCCACCAGATATGGACAATGCTTCGAACAAATCGGTGGTCGAATACAGAAAGTCGATTACCATCCCCAAGGTGTAGAAGCCAAGTCTCGCAACCGTAAAGCAGAAGACTACGAGCCGTATTGATGTGCACACTTCCCTTAAGCAACAGTCGGATGCCATGAGGCGCGCCACAGATGTCACAGGCTAGCAAGACCTGCTCTAGCTCTCACTATTTGTGATGTGATCTCTTCCCCTATACCACCTCCAGTTGCGATCAAGTACTTAAAGCTCTCAACTACTTCCGGCTGGTCACCACAAGGGGTGAATTCAAGCACAGGCTCCTGTCAACCTTGAACAAACAATATGCATTTAAATGGCGCAAAGTGCATTCCATATCTGGATACCACAATCGCCAACCGGTTCAAAGCGGACTGGACTTTCTGTGTGTTGTCACCCAACAAGGCAATGCCATCGACACATTCTCAGTAAAAAGCTCTCTTTCCTAGGAAGAACTCAACTTCATCTTTTATTAGCCCAAACGAAGCATTATGGCAAAGTCGAAGAGAAATGAGGATATGGGGCAGTATTGTCGCATTCCTCTGGAGGCGGCAGAAGGTATCGAAAGCTGACTATAAGCCCTAACCCGACCTGAGGTATGACAATACAACTCTTTGTGGATCGAAGTAGACCTCTCAAGTACTCCAATCCCGGACAGATAGCTCCATACGGCGGTCCTATCGACAAACTCGAAGGTCGAGCGAATGTATAAGTAAGTACACATCGACGGTTGGTCTTTCATGGTCATGACCGTGCTCTAGCAGCTGTTTGAGGATGTGTGTGTGTGTGGAAATTTGATCTATGCATCCACAACAGGCACGATTCGGTGTCGAGGGTACGCAAGTTCACCTGATGGTTAAAAAGAATCTTAACATTATCATGGTACAGCGTAATACAGTGAAGCGGACTTCACTGCTCTCTGCCAAGCTCATAATACATAAAAGTGATGGGGTGTAAGCAGGATATGGATTGGGCCTTTTCAGGAACTTGAGAAGAAAGCAAACCTCTGTGGTCAACACAGAGTGTACAATCCAACTGTGCACACAAGCTATTTCAAGCATTCTAGTCTGACAAGAAGTGACAGCAAGGTCGCCACTGCTGTCGGTTTACTGCCATGGTTCTCAGTGTCTTCAACCATGCAGTTTGGGAGTCTTTTGCATGCCAATCCAAAAGACGAGATGCACCTACTCTACCTAAGCGCGCTGTGCATTTTCTATGCCTCGTCTCCACGTCATCTGCTGGCCTCCATGTGGCTTTCTCCAGCCTGCAACAGCC